CTGCTAGCAGTAATTTGTGGCATGTAATTATATTCATAGTATCTGCGTTTACAGTGGATAAACAATATTCTTCACGCACTGACTTCAAGGGTTGCCAACAAAATATGTTCAAAAATTCTAAGTTAGGCACTCGGAAATAATTATAATTGCTTCAATGTAGTGATACTTTAGTACTACAGTCTTTTTTCTTTTCAAACTTGTTTTCAAAGCCATTAGTGTTGCAAATGGACTTGACCGTGTCCATTGCTTTCCCCAAAATGTTCACATAGGCTTTTTAACACCCCCCGACTTCCAGCTTGTCTCCTGTCACTCACAGAGAAGCCCTGTGTGCTCTCGCCTTCCCAGACCTCTCGGGCTGAGCTTATTTAAGTAGAATAAGACAGTTCTTTATTTCTAGACTGAAACTTTAACATCACTGGACGCGATTAGTACTTCGGTACTGCAGGTAATCAAACTGTTGAATTTCATATGTTTATATTTGCGCTTTATCTTTACTAGGAAGAGTCTACCCTTTTGCACCAAATAACAACTGTCTAGCCAGCAACTACATCTTTTGTAGTCATTTTAGGCTATCGCTATGAGTTTTTGTATATCAAATAGATATCATAAGTCAAAGAGGTCAGTGAATTAAAGTCTTTATGTAAAACTTACTCTAAATGCACGTATTTGATTATTATGTAAATGTACTTTATCTTCTTGTAGGAATTGACCATAACGTTAACAAATGCTGAGAAAATGGCACAGGAATATCCCTCTCGTTTTACTTAATCAAATATTACTTACATTCAGTAATAGCTAGCGATATATCGTTTTCAGCTAATGTAAATTCCGATTCTTCATGAGCAAACCAATTAAAGTTAAAATGAGAAAATTATTGGGAGCAAGGGACTATTATATGAATCCATTAGGCAAATATGAATTGGAATCCCAAATTAGAAAGGTTTGGAGACCATAATCCATAAAAATGCATTAAATGAGTTGCTAGGAGAGGAGTGTTACTTTGACTACTCTAGTCACTGGATAAGTCACTGCTACAATGGGGAAGGAGGGGGGTAGCTGTTTGCTGACCCATGTTGTACCAGGGACACATACTCAGAGGTTGCAACAGGGAATTGATGAGCAGGCATTTATATATATATACATTTACATTTACCATTTTTGCCTTAGTTTCCTAACAGAATGAGGCTTATGCACTCAAACCTTCTGTCACTTTGTCCATTGTAGAGGCCAATGGTTGGCAACCTACCAACTTCCTACCGTAATGTAGCCCTTCCTTCTTGAAATGGGAGCTACCATAAAACTGATCAAATGCAATAGTCTAAAACAAGTGTTTTAATTTGAGCCCAAATTAGTTAAATACCATATGCTAAAACACTATTTGACTTTAGGTGAGGGTCAGGTGATCAGCCTTACAATTGGAAAACCTGTATTCCTAAGGGCAGGCATTCTACAAAAGGGAAAATAATAGTATTTGACTGTGAATGGTAATATGGCTGCTCCTATGATTAAGGGGTGGATATGTGAGCCTTTAGGCACTTCTCTGGCCCTGTGTTATTTGCATGGAAGCAAAGTGCTCTGCAGCAGGGGCCTGTGCGTGTTGTGGCTCTGCGCGTGCTGTTTATACTGCAAATCACATCTCAGCTGCCAAGCGAAGTGCAAACAGGGATAACATTCGCTGTGAGCCCTGCAGGTCGGGCTGCTTTGCAGTACGAGTAACTGCATATAGAAACATGGGGCTGCACCATCAGCGAGCTGGGAACTGTCCTGAATCCCGGGAGAGCTCCAGGCTAATGGGAGGAAGAAGGTTTGGACGCGGGAGCCTGGTGTTTTTCCTGTGTGGTAGAGCTGTTTGGTAGACTCGGGAGTCTGGGGTCCTACGTGCCAAATTCTGAGAGGGAAATGGACATTTACTGCCTCAGAAGAGGCAATTGGACTCAGTATCTTAAAAGTTAGAGGAAAATGCTGAACTTGGGAACACTGACTACAAGGATTGTTTTCTGATATACAGGATAATCCGCTGTGATTACGTTTTCCTGATGCATTTCTCACTGGGCTGTCCAGAATGGAGGCTGTGGCAGATGGACTAATAAATAGGTCAGTGAATTCTGAATTACTCCATCCCTTGCTTTCTCCAGTTTTCTCTGTTGTCTGTTTCTTTCCCATCTTTGGTTTTACAGCACCTGAGTAAAAGCCAGGGCCTGATATTCTACAGCTGTAAAACCGTCTGGCCTTCCAGGAAAGAGAACCTCATCTTCCGTTTTCTTTCCATTGTCACATGGCAAGATAAATTAGTGACTGATGAACTAATGTAATTTTCATTGATGTTCATATCTGTGATATCTTTGGGATATAGTTTTTAAACATATGAAGTGGAAGCTTTTAAGCAGACTTTGGAAATAACTTTTTATTTCATGGAATTAATTTTAGGAGAGAAAACAAGCTGTCAGGAATGTATAACATCTGAAGAAATGTAGATAAAGACCTTCAAATGAGATTAAAATGAAGTAAAGACCTCAGCATCCATATTCACACTCACTTTTGTCTTTATATGACTGGTCACTCTGTTAGTGATGTTCTGATGGCCTCACTCAGAAGTAGGAATTTTTTCAGTCAGTTTCAGGGTTATTCCTGACTATATTTTTGTTTTGTTTCTTAATTTTAGTTGATTTCCTTTATTATCTAGCTTTTGTGCTGCCCATATACAGCAAGACAACAAATGCAGGCTTTTCTCACAAACCATGGCCATCTATCCTCATCATTAGTCTTGAAGGTGCTTTACTGTCACGTTATAAAATAACATACTAGCTTCAGTTCAAAGGAATTTTAATGATGTAGCTGGGAGCATAAAAGGGTATAGAGGAGTGGGGAAAATAGCAGAATTTGAGAAAAGACTATCATTTGAGAAAAATCCTAGGCTCTTATTGTGAAAGATATGGAACATTTATCTCAAGTGTCACTGCTGAACTCGGTGGGAGCAGTTGCACTTAA